CTTTTCTGGGCCAATCTGCGATCTAATCCTTGCTGTCTTCGAGCTCGACAAGAAGAACAATTGGTTGAGGCGCCAAGCAATTGTAATCATCCTTCAACAAGTCTTTGGCGGGACTATAGAAAGGTCAGAATAGCTTATCATTGATCAAATACCCATCTCACATCTTTCTAGAAAGCTGCGAGAAGTCGTAAAGGGACAGACTGATGAGACCCATCTGATGCAATATCTTGACATTTTTCGGCGAGCCCTCTGGCCAGATGGGAAACTCAAGCCCCCCGGTGTGCCCCGGACGATCGAGGAAAAGTCAAAGACACGAGAGGAAGCGAATCGTAAACTCACTACACTTATGCCAGGTACGACTTTACACGGTTTATATTCACATTCCTCACTTCTTGAATAGAGCTTGCTGCAAATATGATTGGTCGCTCAAATGCGAGACGAGGGGCAAGACGCATGTTTGCTGTGCTTCAAAACCGAAGGCTCAACCAGCACCTAGTCTATACGGTATTCGATGAGATAATGGCAGCCCTATTCCCAGAAGCCGTTTTTAGCCCTCCCTAGGATGGCGAATTTAGTAAACTTGATTAGTAACCTGTACTTCCTATGCCTCCTTTCGACAATAATGGTGTATTGGAATTTATGTATTTTATGCACCGACCCAATCGGTTTATTGACTGTCCGGATGAGCTGGTCCCTAATTTTGACATTTCGACCTGTTCGCTCCATTCCTCGGGTTGCCAAAGTTATATGTCGGTTTACAGCTCTTATACCCATGATTTCAACCAGAATTCAAATCTCCACACGAAACAGATTGAATACGTTATTTCCTGATAAAAAGTGGGCTGATATCATGTCTGTACCCTCCGTGGAATCTATACTAGCGGCAGGGTTAGCTGCATGTGTAGCAGTATGTTTTCCCTTGCTTTGACGCTAAAACTCTAAAGATACTCATATATCTAAATTTTCTTTAGACAACTATTTCGAATCCGGCAGAAGTAGCCAAGACGCGTTTACAATTACAAGGGGAACTTGCTAAAGGTGGTTTTAAACCAGTTTATGCAGGTCCTTTGGACGTTGTATTTAAAACCTGGAAGAATGAGGGTGTACAAGGTGTGCAACGCGGGTTAGGGGCCGCCTATGCATATTCGGTATGTCGCAGACCTCTACACGAACTTGCCTCACGCCTCTACAGAGCCTCTTACAGATCTGCATCGTAGGCACGCCTGTTTTTTAATAAAAATATAGTGCATGAAATAATCTCTGTTCAGGACTATACGAACCTTTTAGGCAATCGCTAAATCTAGGATTAGGGAAGGGGACTCAAGATCGCCTACCCTTCACAACGATCGCAGCTGGAACATGTACAGGTATCGTCGGAGGTAAGAATATTCCGGAAATAATTGTGCTTTTGGTCACCTGCCCTCAGCATTTCTCGGGAATCCGTTGTTCCTAGTCAAGGCGCGCATGCAGGCATATTCTCCTTCCTTGCCTGTGGGAACACAAAGACAATATAATTCGGGATTCCATGCTCTAAAAACAATCTGCGCCGAGGAAGGTTTAAAAGGCCTCTTTCGGGGTTCTAGAGCGGCTATGTTCCGTACCTCCTTAGGCACATCAGTGCAGATGCCCACGTATTTCTTCACAAAACGTATGATAGTAGATCAAGGTTTGATGAGGCCTGAGAATCCTTTGGTTGTGATCTCTAGCAGCGCGGCGGCAGGCGCCACAGTGGTAAGCATGCGACCACCAGCTGCGCCAGGCTAATCGGCCTCTTTTCAGTGTTTGTCGATGTCACCCGCGGACACAATCCTAACCAGATTGTACGGTTCTTTATTTCAATTGATCAGTTTGCATCATGACTAGCCCGCAGGTACAATCAGCCTGTCGCGCAACAAAACGGCAGCGCCGTTGGGATGCTATACAAAGGACCTTTTGATTGCCTTTCAAAAGTGGTGCGTATCGAAGGGGTTTTGGCACTGTATAAAGGTGAGCCATTAGCTGTTTGCCGCGCGTCGTCCCCGTCGCCTACACTAGAGGGGCGCGCCCATGGCCGTGCTGGGTCCAAACTCACCCGATCAACACACAGGTGCTTTGGCGCACTTTCTTAGGATTACACCACACATTACGGTCTTACTTACGGTAAACGAATACTTTTTGCGGTGGAGACGTCCGGCGCCAGGCCATCCGTGACCTGGGCCACGGGTAGCGTGTCTCGGCGCAGGATAAATCCTGAAACTTCCCTCTAACTTAGGCACAGATATTGTTTATTTCTATAATTTGCAATGAAATGGAACCCTGGATCACGGTATCTGGCACAGTCGCCGCCGGCCTCACATCCCAAACATTGTGGCCCTCCGGATGAGATATAGATCGACCGATTCATACGAGACGGTGCATCCTCTCTCTTTTTCTTCCACTTATTTCCGCGCCAACCACTC